GCACACACACACACGCACACACACGCACACGCACACACACGCACACACATGCACACACACACACACAAACACGCACACACACACACACACACAAACGCAGAGATTGATACATACACACACACACACACACACACACACTGTCCTGTCCATGGAGTCAGACTGGAAAGTGTGAGCAAGTGAAAGACAACAAATGCACAAACAGCCTTGTGTTCTGTTTCCTTCCTACATCACGAGGAACAAATCATTCACTCATTAAACATGACGAGATTCCTGACTGCTGACCTGCAGCAAAACGTTTTCAACGACCTGCGGAACTGTGGGATATATATCTGCGATAACTCACCCACACATCTCTTTCCGGTCGAGGACAGCTGGAATCCCTCCGGACACTCGCACCTGAAGCTGCCTGGCGTGTTCACACACTTGCCAAAGATGCAGATCTCTGCCGTCTGAGAGCATTCGTCGATATCTGAGCAAACACACACATGGATGAAGTGGTTTGAACCAGGGCTCTGAACCGGTTCAAGGAACGAAAACAAAAAACGGAAACGAATGAAAGCTTCTGTGAACGGAGAAAACAGAATAAAACTGTAGGCTTACATAAAAAGGAATAGACTATCTTGGCCTATACACGAAATATATTTCACTTAAATCATTGACAGATTAACAAAACGAAAGAAAAAAAATTGCTGATTTCGGTTCATTGCGATGCGATCCAAAGTTCACGGAAAGGAAAACGAGACGGCAGAAAGCAGTTTTATTTATTTTGCAAAAGCTCGACAGTTTTGAATGATGTTTTGCTTCTATCTGTATAACCAACCAGCGTTTATATGACCATATCGTGCCGACACAGACACAACATATTTTGTGACATTGCAGCCTGTTCATTATCAAAATAAAATACAGTTAAAGAAACATAAAAAGTTGCACTGCTCTGTTGTGTTCAGCGTGACCACACTGTGCTGATATAGCCGATGTGAAGGAATGTAATAATAAAATGCGACGTGAGCCTACGCGACTTGTTTTTTGTTGTTGTTTTTTTCCCTCTCAAAACGCAATTTTATAGGAGTGGCATTTTTGCAACAATGCAGCAAATATTTTAAAAATCTTAAAAAATACTTTAATGTCTTTAAAGCGTTAACAGATTTTTCTTTCTTTTGTTTAGTAGCCTAATCTAGAAAATCTAGAAAAGATGATGCTGTGTAGCTGTGACTAAGCGCAGCGGGTTAAGATAACAGATCTCTTCCTGTTTTTTTTTTCTTTTTTGAGTAAAGAAAATGCTGTACTTTATTATTATTATAGGCAAAGAAAAGGTTTAAAAATAACGTTATTAACCGGTATTTTTTCTAGGCAAACCGGTTTCGGAACGATAATAATACAGAGGAACACAAATGTTAAAATATCGATTCTGCTCGGAGTGAACCGATTGAATTTATTTTTTTCGTTTTCAAGCCCTGGTTATAAAACGGAGAGTTCCGGTCCTTGATTCTGATTGGCTGAGCCGCGTTCGAAGCTGTTGCAAATGACTCTACAAAGTAACACACACCTTTGTTTACGTTTGTGTGTTGCTCGGCAACCACTTTGTTGCAACCACAACTGTTTCTGAGGAGCTACATTGTTTGGTGGAAGAATACTGTTTTTATTAATATCATTACACTTTATTTGCTCTGTTTTATTTTGTGAAACCTTACTACGTATATGGAATAACCGTTTTATAAAAGCAATAAACCCAGTGAAGCTGTGGTTTACAGTGAATTTATAACAGCTTTGCTTCGTGCCTAACAACGCCCCTTAGCTGTTATAAATTCACTGCTTCTTGGGGCTTATTGCTTTATTTGAACACACTCGCTGTGAGCACTAGCACTAGTGACCATCGTCCCGAGCCTCACTGACCTTCACACCTGTCGTTCTGCAGGAAGTATCCAGGAGGACAGATGCACCTGTAGGAGCCGTCCAGATTCTGGCACGTTCCCGGACCGCAGGTGCCGGGGCTGATCAAACACTCGTTGATGTCTGAGCAGAAGAGACGTGATAATAAATACACAAACACACATGCATTGGAGGTCCAGCAGAGCAGCTTCAGGACTCACCCACACACATCCGGCCATCAGGAGAGAGTTTATACCCATCTAGACACACGCACACAAACGAGCCCACCGTGTTGATGCAGTTTCCGTTCCGACACAAGCCCCGGAGCGACGTGCACTCGTCTGTGTCTGAACGACGCAAACAAAACACAGCCGTTAAAGGATAAATTCATTCCAGATTAAAAATGTCCTGATAATATAATCAACCCCTGTGTCATCCAAGATGTTCATGTCTTTGTTTCTTCAGTCGCAAAGAAATTACGTTTTTTGAGGAAAACATTCCAGGACTTTTCTCCATATAGTGCACTTCAATGGTGGCCAACGATTTGAAAATCAAAATGCAGTTTCAAAGAGCTCTACACGATCCCAGCCGAGGAATAAGGGTCTTATCTAGCAAAACAATCGCTCATTTTCTAAAAAAAATGTATATTTATACACTTTTTAACCACAAATGCTCAGCTAGCGTTAGCTCTGCAATGCGCATGTGCGACGTAGGCGGACGCACCGACCCAGTGTTTACAAAGCCAACATGCAAAAAAAGTCAATGCCCTTTACAAAAAAGATAAAACAATGATGTTGAAGGATTTTAAAGTTGGAGGAGAAAATGAGATGGAGTTTTTAACCGAAGTACAAGGACGAAGAACTAACCGCGCGTAACCTTTCTAACAGGATTACGTAATGTGCGACAACGCGCATAGCAGAGCTAGAGCAAGCAGAGCATTTGTGGTTAAGAGAAAGAAAGAAATATTCATTTAAAAAGAAATGACTGATCGTTTCGCTAGATAAGACCCTTATTCCTTGGCTGGGATCGTGTAGAGCTCTTTGAAGCTGCATTTTGGACTTTCAAATCGTTGGCCACCATTGAAGTCCACTATATGGAGAAAAGTTTTTGAATGTTTTCCTCAAACTTAATTTCTTTGTGACTGAAGAAAGAAAGACATGAACATCTTGGATGACATGGAGGTGAGTGAACTTATCCACAAACACATGTCTGTCTGCTGTGGAATTAATAAATATTCTACACTTATTTATAAACTTTTACATAACAGCTGCATGCTTCAAGTCAACAGGAACGCAATAATGATGGTAAAAAAACAGTATCATCATTAAAACACCACTCGTTAACACTTGTGTGTGTGTACCGATGCAGTCGTTGTTGTGTGACAGCTGGAATCCTGGGTAACACAGGCAGTTGTAGGAGCCCACAGTGTTCTTACAGGTTCCATTTCCACACGGCTGACGCTCGCACTCGTCCACATCTGAACACAGACCACAGATGGTCAGTTAGTTATGAACACAGAGACCACAGACGGTCAGTTAGTTATGAACACAGACCACAGACAGTCGGTTAGTTATGAACACAGACCACAGACGGTCGGTTAGTTATGAACAGAGACCACAGATGGTCGGTTAGTTATGAACACTGACCACAGATGGTTGGTTAGTTATGAACAGAGACCACAGATGGTCGGTTAGTTATGAACACTGAGACCACAGACGGTCGGTTAGTTATGAACAGAGACCACAGATGGTCGGTTAGTTATGAACACTGAGACCACAGACGGTCGGTTAGTTATGAACAGAGACCACAGATGGTCGGTTAGTTATGAACACTGAGACCACAGACGGTCGGTTAGTTATGAACAGAGACCACAGATGGTCGGTTAGTTATGAACACTGAGACCACAGACGGTCGGTTAGTTATGAACAGAGACCACAGATGGTCGGTTAGTTATGAACACTGAGACCACAGACGGTCGGTTAGTTATGAACAGAGACCACAGATGGTCGGTTAGTTATGAACACTGAGACCACAGACGGTCGGTTAGTTATGAACAGAGACCACAGATGGTCGGTTAGTTATGAACACTGAGACCACAGACGGTCGGTTAGTTATGAACAGAGACCACAGATGGTCGGTTAGTTATGAACACTGAGACCACAGACGGTCGGTTAGTTATGAACAGAGACCACAGATGGTCGGTTAGTTATGAACACTGAGACCACAGACGGTCGGTTAGTTATGAACAGAGACCACAGATGGTCGGTTAGTTATGAACACTGAGACCACAGACGGTCGGTTAGTTATGAACAGAGACCACAGATGGTCGGTTAGTTATGAACACTGAGACCACAGACGGTCGGTTAGTTATGAACAGAGACCACAGATGGTCGGTTAGTTATGAACACTGAGACCACAGACGGTCGGTTAGTTATGAACAGAGACCACAGATGGTCGGTTAGTTATGAACACTGAGACCACAGACGGTCGGTTAGTTATGAACAGAGACCACAGATGGTCGGTTAGTTATGAACACTGAGACCACAGACGGTCGGTTAGTTATGAACAGAGACCACAGATGGTCGGTTAGTTATGAACACTGAGACCACAGACGGTCGGTTAGTTATGAACAGAGACCACAGATGGTCGGTTAGTTATGAACACTGAGACCACAGACGGTCGGTTAGTTATGAACAGAGACCACAGATGGTCGGTTAGTTATGAACACTGAGACCACAGACGGTCGGTTAGTTATGAACAGAGACCACAGATGGTCGGTTAGTTATGAACACTGAGACCACAGACGGTCGGTTAGTTATGAACAGAGACCACAGATGGTCGGTTAGTTATGAACACTGAGACCACAGACGGTCGGTTAGTTATGAACAGAGACCACAGATGGTCGGTTAGTTATGAACACTGAGACCACAGACGGTCGGTTAGTTATGAACAGAGACCACAGATGGTCGGTTAGTTATGAACACTGAGACCACAGACGGTCGGTTAGTTATGAACAGAGACCACAGATGGTCGGTTAGTTATGAACACTGAGACCACAGACGGTCGGTTAGTTATGAACAGAGACCACAGATGGTCGGTTAGTTATGAACACTGAGACCACAGACGGTCGGTTAGTTATGAACAGAGACCACAGATGGTCGGTTAGTTATGAACACTGAGACCACAGACGGTCGGTTAGTTATGAACAGAGACCACAGATGGTCGGTTAGTTATGAACACTGAGACCACAGACGGTCGGTTAGTTATGAACAGAGACCACAGATGGTCGGTTAGTTATGAACACTGAGACCACAGACGGTCGGTTAGTTATGAACAGAGACCACAGATGGTCGGTTAGTTATGAACACTGAGACCACAGACGGTCGGTTAGTTATGAACAGAGACCACAGATGGTCGGTTAGTTATGAACACTGAGACCACAGAGGGTCGGTTAGTCATGAACATAGTCCACAGATGGTCGGTTAGTTATGAACATAGTCCACATACGGTCGGTTAGTTATGAACACTGAGACCACAGACGGTCGGTTAGTTATGAACATAGACCACAGATGGTCGGTTAGTTATGAACACTGAGACCACAGACGGTCGGTTAGTTATGAACATAGACCACAGATGGTCGGTTAGTTATGAACACTGAGACCACAGACGGTCGGTTAGTTATGAACATAGACCACAGATGGTCGGTTAGTTATGAACACTGAGACCACAGACGGTCGGTTAGTTATGAACATAGACCACAGATGGTCGGTTAGTTATGAACACTGAGACCACAGACGGTCGGTTAGTTATGAACATAGACCACAGATGGTCGGTTAGTTATGAACACTGAGACCACAGACGGTCGGTTAGTTATGAACATAGACCACAGATGGTCGGTTAGTTATGAACACTGAGACCACAGACGGTCGGTTAGTTATGAACATAGACCACAGATGGTCGGTTAGTTATGAACACTGAGACCACAGACGGTCGGTTAGTTATGAACATAGACCACAGACGGTCGGTTGGTTATGAACACAGACCACAGGCGGTCAGTTAGTTATGAACACAGACCACAGACTGTCAGTTAGTTATGAACACAGACCACAGATGGTCAGTTAGTTATGAACACGGATGGTCAGTTAGTTAGTAATGAACACAGACGGATAGTTATTTATGAACATAAACCGTCAGTTAGTTATGAACATAGACCACAGACGGTTATTTAGTTATGAACACGTGAAGTTGGTTAATCATGAACACAGACAGTTAGTTAGTTAGTTAGTTATGAACACAGACCCCAGAAGGTTAGTTAGTTATCTACATGAGGATGTACCACAGACAGACATATGAGCAGACAGACAGACAGACGGGTGTGTGAGGCTGATCTCTCACCGATACACAGGTCTGGTGTGGATTTGAAGCCGTTGGGGCAGATGCAGCGGTAACTACCCACCATGTCAATACACTGACCAGGACTGCAGATGTTTGGATTCTCAGCACACTCATTACGATCTGAGAGGAAGAGTCAAACATCATCATCATCATCACACACACTATGAGCAATATGAGATATTTCCATTACACACACACTCACCGACACACTGCTGGGTGGGAGTTTGCCGGTATCCAGGTTTACACTCGCAGCGGAAACTTCCAGGAACGTTCAGACAGACGGCGTTCTGCTGACACACCGGCCCGTTCTGACACTCGTCAATATCTGCACACACATCATTCACAGAGCGCTGAGAGTGAATCATCTTATTTCATTCGCACAGATTGTCACAGATCCTGTCACATTTTTTGTTTGTTATTGTAGATTTTACTCTCCAGAGGGGCGTAACATGGACTCTTATTTTATAAAATACAGTCATAAAGCGTGTCGGGGATATGTTTCACTATATTATAATGTTTGTTTATTATTTATTGAAATAAAACCATGAAATGTCATGATTTAAGGTTTTCAATTACTAACAGACATTTTATTTTCATAACAGGCTGACAGAGATATATGCAAACATATGATAATCTAAAATAAACAGGTATAATATTTAGAGCTCTTACCCTCACAGATCAGCAACTTGTCATTATAGACAAAACCCATCGGACATTCACAGCGGAAACTGCCGATCATGTTGATACTCTTTGAGTGTGTCTGTGTGTTTACCAATGACGTGACCGGTGTAAATGTCAATGAAATATCCAGGTCTCTCACTTCCACACAGCACAGCGAACTCATCTGCAGCAGAGAACAGCGTTACTGTCATGACTGTGTGTTTGTCGGATTTTTTTTAATCGATTTAAGGCTTTTTAAGACCTTTTTTAAGACCTGCACAAAATTAAATGTATGAGAGGTAGGGAAAAGTCAATTAAAATACAGATTCTGACAAAAACTAAAACTAAAAAAAAATCTTATAAAACATTTTAAGAGTCACAGTTATAAAAGATTATATTTATATTAATTTGAAAAAAATTAAGAAAATTAGTGCTGTCAAACGATTAATCGTGATTAATTGCATCCAAAATAAAAGTTTTGTTTACATATGTGTGTACTGCATATATTTATTATGTATATATAAATACACACACATGCATGTATATATTTCAGAAAAATATGCTTATATATCAAATATATTTTTGATATAATATAAATTATATGAACATAAATATATACATGTAAATACATGTACATATTTTCAAAATATATACTGTATGTGTGTGTGTTTATATATACATAATAAACATACACAGTACACACATATTATGTAAACAAAAACGTTATTTTGGATGCGATTAATCGTTTGACAGCACTTATGAAAAGATATATTTCAAATTATATATATGTATATACACACACACACACACACACATAAATATATATATATATATATATATATATATACACACACACTCACATATATATATATATTTATATTTATATACACACATACATACACACACACACACACACAGAGATATATATACACACACA